CGGCCGGAAGATGAAGCAAAGACCAGCAGTGTTGTTCTATGAAGTACGCATGCCGTAAGAAAAGAAGTGAGTAGATAGCGGTTTGTTATATTATTGTAAATACTTAATCGACATTTTACATAAATATCACTATTGAAGCAGCTTAAACTCGACAGATATTTACATTGTTTACGCCTTGTAATATAACAAATAGTATAACACCTGTTTTGTGAATAACTTACAGCTGTCCCTCATTCCTTTCCTTCTCGTCATCGTGGTCGTCCAGTAAAGAAAATCACATTCTCTCTCTCTCCTCGTACTCTATACGTAACGTATCCATGCTGAGCGATCCTTTCACAATCGGCATTAAACGTAGTGTCGCGAAATCCGGGAGACCATAACGGCAGCGCATCAATTCCATCTGTTCCTTGTCAAAAGGACACTTCTACGTCATCCAACATGCCAGCCAGCCCGCAAGTTCTTTGCTGCTTGGCTCATGTCACGACGTCCAAGTGTGTAACCCCCCCCGGTAGGCAACCCTAAAGTTCTCACTAGTGTTGAGTCCCCCGTGTTGTTACGCCATTCTCAGATTATAATGCTCCGCGCTCCTATGCCCAGCAGTCACACTTACCGTCTAAACGAATAAAGTCGAATTCCTGAGAAGCGCTATAATGATATATACGTTCTACACATTGTCCGCTTCTATCTTCACTTTACTCCCGCCATTTCGTTAGTTTGTCATATCGATAATTATCAACTAGCCGACATCCGCATGCAATCGCTCCCTTCTTACCATACAGCCTCCCCTCTCTCTCTCTACTGTGAGTAAACACTCACTACTCATGAGAACTTCACCAACTGAATAAATATTTTACACTCCCATAATCAATGACTACTAACCCTGATTACATAAATTGAAATCTGTCATCTTTTCAAGCTTCTCTCTTTAACATATCTATTCAGCCGCGCTGTTAGAGCCGTGCGCGAGCGGTTCCTTTCTCCTCCCGCACACCGCTGGTACATCAGTCTCTCACGCTATTATGTATCCGCTCATATGCGCAGAATCGCCGAGTTTTCTTCGTCCTCTTTCGCGACAATAAATAGTGAGTACTGCGCGACTCCTCGGACCCCGTCCCAGTGCCCTCGTTTGCAATCAACCGTTAACGCCCGCTCTACGCCCCTCATCAGCACACCCTGGAATACTCTCCCTCGCGCGCACGCGCCCCGTCCCCACGCCCAGCGCACTCCTCGCGCCGCGTTCCTGGCGCCCGGCGCAGCCACGCCCCACCCGTCCCTCGCAGTCTCAGCACTAGAGCCTCTGGCGATCCTCGGTGTTTCGGCACTCTATTAACTCGGAGAACATCACAGCCCACGGCGGGAAGACAACGTGGTGACCACCAGATGCTCTCGAGGAAGAACGCCAGTTGACTAGCCACCGCTGTGTCCACTACGGGCTCTCGCTTGCCGAGAAGTCCGTGCGCCCCACGATCAAACACGCCATCGTAACGGAAACACAGACGCCACCCCCGCCGCTCCCGGTTATCGACCGCGAGGCATGACGCGATCGGTGCCGGAGTCGAGCTGCGAATTGATGCACGCTCGCCGCACTAGTATACTCCTAATTATCATGTCGTTATGTAGATAATCCAAGCCGATTGGTTTCGGAGGTCACTTTGAGGTCTATCTCGAACTCTAGCACTCGTGACGAGTATCGATTTCCCGAGCCGCAACATCCGTTGTCTAGCCACACGGTGTCACTAACTTTAACAAGCTGTGCCATTCGTGACAAGGCTCCTTCAGAGCCCGTGAGGTCCCTATCACTCTCGCCCCCCGCTGCCCCCGCAGGTGCTATCCGTCGCGTGCCCCCGGCCGTCCGACCAACTATCCCCCCGGTTCTCCCGCGTCACTGATTACGACAGGCATCCTAAACCTGTAGCCACGTATCGATTCCTCATAGTGAGACATTGACACTGATTCCCATATAAATCTATAACATCACACTCATACTATACTAAAGCATTACTTATTTTGTGTGAACAAGCACATCAGTTAAATATTCTCCGCCAATCTCATCCAACTTGTATACCTCTCAGGCCCATCATGCTTACCATGTTCCCAGCCTCTATTCATCTCGGTCATCTTCTATAGATGAGGAGGACCACTCTACACCAATCTTCACTGCCTCGTATCCACGTACGGCCGGGTTCGAATCGGTTACTCCCCGTCGTCCAAGATGTCTCTTGCTGTTTACCTCTCTCGACGTGTTCACAACCCTTTCGATAGTCTTGCTCAAACACACACACCCTGAGTAAAAATTTACGATTATAAATAAGAATGAGAACTGTTGTCTATTACACATAGAATAGAAATACAAAAGTTTGACGTAATAATTAATATAGACCAAAAACACTAAATAGTTAGAGAAACGCCAAACAGAGTAAACAAAAAAAAAAAAAATAATAAAAAAAAAAAAACAATATGCAAAAAGATATCAGATATATGACTCACAACAGTTGACAATAGATATAATATCTAAGAAGAAAGATAAAGACAAATAACAATACCCAAATAAACAATAATAATTCTAACGACAATTATATTAAACAAATATGAACCTAGATTATTACTAGAATACATAGCAGTGATTTTCGAAATATCAACATGAGATGGGAAAAGCTAGGGGCATAAAATCAAAATAAAAAGCAAATTATATTCATTACTATTCAATATCATTATTCACACTGATCGCGCTCTCCCAGCAGGGTCGAAGCTCACATAGAAGAGACGGACTCCTCACTGTTAATGGCGCTGTGTTGTGTTGTTGTTGTTGTCTTGTTTTGTCATTCGTCGCCGTGTGCGCAGGGCTAGCTTGTTGGACTCGGTCGTTCGTACTTTGTTGTCTCCGTTATTATCTTCTTGATAGAAACTTTTGTCGCGGTAATTGTATGAATCGTGTGATCAATCATAGATAGAACTAACAACTATAACGCATCTCATTATTTTTCTATAGTAGGAAAAAATACATGCTAGATATAGTAGTAATGCACAGTTTGCGTTCATCGCTGACCGTGATGTCAGAATTAATATCCCCCGCGTACGGCTTCGCGAGAGTTCACGGCGAGTAACTATTCACGCAGGATTCGGGCGACACCCTCCAAATCTTGTCATAGTTCTGAACGAACGTGCTTCCGTTTCATCCGGCTGTGCACGAGTCTTCACGCCTGCACCTAGACAGACCAGGCTGCTTAGTCCAGCACACATCGGCATCATGTAGCCGCTTACGGGCATCGACTGACGATACCAATTATGCTAGGGCGTGCTTTGCTTATAATAACCAGTGTTATTTGCTAACCATTATGAGATGCGCTAGCAAAAACGCATTGATCAGTGACGCAGGCATTATAAAGACGCTATGATGAGGAAAAAGGCTTCGGCATGGCAGAGGCGTAATCACGTTCGGCTATATGTAGGCTCGCAGATCCACTTCTGTGTTGACCGCATTCTAGCGCTCTTCTGTGCACAGACAAGCCTGTTGTACACGTCCGAAGAAGTTGTTCCAACGTAAAGGTTTTGGAAAGTACTGCGACGGCTAGTAAAAACCTATGGAGCACGACACACACATGCGCCGCGCGCACGCGCTGCACTACCCACACTCACACACACAACACACATCACCAAACACTATACACATAACACACAAACACACACTACACACAGCACACAGCACACACTCCACACCACACACACACACACACACCGACAGCACACACCACACAACAACATATGATATATATATATATAATATATATATATATAATATATATATATAATCTAGATACCATACGATATCGAAACACGCGCGCACACACGCACGGCACACACCACACACACACACACACACACACACACAAACACACACACACACACACACAACACACACCACACACACACATCCACACACAACACAGCGTGGCGCTTATATATATATATAATATATATATACCACAAACAAAACTCACAACATAGAAACCATATACACCACACACATTAATATCTCTACCTACTTATTATATATATATATACTATCTCTACCATAACACCGCGCACAACACGCACGCAACGCAATCTCAGATAACATGACATATCCAGTTCCTGAAAGGTTAATACTGCTGTCCCTTGTCCATAACCTAAAAACCATGGAGAGGCTCAAGGTCATTGATCGTCACCGTAGTCGACTAATAGACAGGATCCGGATCCTCGATTCCATTTGCCGCGTCATTCTCGCGAACTCCACCGGATTGGTGCGCGTTTTTATTGGAGCGCACATTGTTGGTATCGCCACGCCATCAACTGATCGGGACAGTGGTCTCAAAACTATCGCTCCAAACTGGACATTGCGCAAGAAGGTACTAGGTGAATTATTGTCCGTGTATGGGTATAGGTATGACTCGAGTACAAACATAAATTACTGCAACGATGTCTACAAACACGGCAGCAACATTCAGTTAGAGTTATGGCAACTAACACAAACTGAAAATATACATAGTACAATGGAAGACAACAATCGATAGAAGAAAAACGAAATTTGACAGGAGGACAACTACAAATGTAACACTCGAGAATAACAAAGCAGACTTCTGAACAGTAACATCGAACCGCGTACGTGTACGAAACATAATATTAATGCTGGTGTAATTATAAATACATGAATAACTGAACTGTAGCTGATGGCTATACAAGTGGATTGATTGAAATATTTAATGATGCATTTTCACACAAAATAAGTAAGTGCTTTAGTATAATATAGTCTTTATAGATATATGAATCATTCAATGTCTCCACAGGGAATGTACGTGGCTACAGGTTTATGATGCTGGCGAAATCAGGTTGATAAACCCTCACCGAGTTAGTTGAGATAAGCTGTTAATTAGCACTGTCTAAACAAATGTTGGTAATGTTTAGATGTAATTCAGATAATCAAATGGCAAATCTTCACTTGTAAAAATGGACAAAAATGGACGTAGAATAGATCATTAAATTTTTTTATGAAGCAAATGATACAATGAATTATACACATCAACAGATGATAACGGTCCCTCGTGGAATATTGCTATTTAAATAAAATATTAAAATGTTCTTTTGTGCGGCGATATAAGTTAATTATAAATCGTACTTTCTTACAGTAACTTCTACTAAACAGCTATGATATATACCAATTATATCTCAAACATGATGTAAACGTATTAAATGAGTTTTGAGCAGATTTTCTGAGAGCAAGCCGCTCGTTGGCGTCATGACACACTCCAGAGACCCGATGTTCGGATCGCAACGCGCCCATCGCGCCCATCGCTTATTATCTACAAACACAATAATAGATTATAGTGCGGAGCAGACATCGCGACTAGGAGACGTTCAATTCCTTTATAACAGGACCGCGGCGGTCTTGTTTCCTTCGATGCGTGTTTGATGTGGGCAACACTCTCGCAGGAGAGCTATACAATTTATCACGGCGTTCTTTCCGAGAGCTCTGGTTCCACCACCGTTTCTTCCCCACGCTCGGCTTATTTCCACGGTTAATAGATGGAACCACGAGGTCGCTAGTGCTGAGACGCGGCGGCGGAGCGTTCGGCAAAAGCGTCTGGGGAGGGCTGCCGAGCAGGTTTCCGTGCTTATCGTAGACGGTCACCTTGGCAACCCACTGGTAGCGGTCGTGATATTTTATTGTCCCGAAAGCGAAGAACTCGCGTTCTCGCTGGTCTAATAGCTGGCTGATGTGAAGCGTTGCCCACCTGTAACAGCGCGCGAATATTTTAACAACTTAAAATTAATTTTCATTTATTAATCATTGTTCATTAATTATTGTAATTATTCGTTGATTAAGTTCTCATGGTTGTAAGTATTGTCTCCAGCTGGGTTGTTTGAAATCTTCTCGTTCTGTAATTCTCGTATGAAACTAACCGAAATGCGAGTAAGTGCAGATGAGAGCATTAGAACGTATTACATTTCGCTTCTATATTCGACTTTATTCGTTTGCTAGTTGTGCTGGCTATAGCGCCATTATAATCTGACGTAAACACGGGGACTCACACCATGAGAACTTTACCTACCGGTTACACCACTTGACTCTGACGTAGCCAGCAGCAAAGAACTGCGCTCTCCATTTGATGACGTAGATGTCCTTTTCCAAGAACATGTTGATCGCTGCCTTTTCTCCCGGTCGCACCACTACGGTAATGCCGATACTTTGAAGGATCGTCACAGATACTTTCTTAGAGTACGAGGAGGAGAATGATTTTCTTTCTGACGCCCCGGACGAGAAGGAAGAAGACACCTGTAAGTTATTCACAAAAAGTGTTATACTTTTGTTATTAAACGTAAAACATGTAAAATGTCGATTTAGCATATATAAGTAATGTATTAATACAAATTACACCCCCTCTCTCACGCACACGCGCCCTAACAACACGCACACGCAGCTACATACGCACACGCAGGTACACACGCACAGGCAGGTACATACACACACGCAGGTACACACGCACACGCAGGTACACACGCACACGCAGGTACACACGCACACGCAGGTACACACACACACACACACACACACACACACACACACACACACACACACACACACGCACACACAATACAGCACATACCAGCAAGGTTACACACGCACACGCAGACACACACTACACACACCCAGCACACACACACACACACACACCACACACACGGTATCACAGCACGCAGTACACACTCACACGAGTGTACACACGCACACGCAGGGTACAACACACACACACACCACACTAAACAGCACACACACACACACACACACATCACACAGCAGTACAAATAGGTACCCACTGCACTACGCAGGTACACACATCACACGCAGGGCGGACACGTACACGCGAAGTAACGACACACACATACACACAGCACACTAACACACACACACAGCACACACACACATACACGACACACGCACACCTACACACACACACACACACACACACACGACACACACGCACACACGCACACACACACACACCACACACACACCACAGGTACACTTCGCACACGCAGTGCACACGCGCACTCGTACGGGCGGTTAACCCTTCACGTGTATCATAGCGACCGAATCGCGACCCGAGAAGTAATTATTAAGGATACTTC